TAAAGAAGAGACAGACCATTCAAACAAAGTAAAACAAAGACTTTCTTTTACATGTTTCACTGATGGTTTGTTTAGTATAATAGTTATCATGTTTGGCACATCATTCCAACTCATCAGTGGAAATATTACATTCTGCTCAAATGCCAGACTTGCTGTCTTTATATTTAGGGTAATGCTTTCTTTCAGAGAGGACATAAAGCTGTCTGTCTCATAAAAAGATCCGGTTCTTGTAGCAAAAAATTACAATCAACATTATCCTTTTATTACATTTGTGGTGTCCCTTGTCTGTAAATAAGCCCTGAACCTGTCGTCACGAAATGTGATAGTATAAGTGGGTGCTTGATAAATATTAACGGGCGATGGTGGTCGCATTGCGTCGTGTCGTGTCCAGTATAGAACGTGTGTAAAATACATGAATTTTGAACACGCGCTATATGCTGACCACAACTATTTAATTGGTTTCTTTGGGAAACACAGTATATAAATAACTTTTTTTGAAAATAGTAATGTCAAGCTTCACCAGTGTCAAAATATCATTGTCTAACACTGTTAGTATTGTTCCTTGCAATATTCTTTCTTTTGTGTGTATACAAGTTAAACTCCAGTAATAAAAGTACATTGTAATACAAGTTGCATCATGTGAGTGGACGGGATTGATTTACTGCATCATTTGTGTATTCTCAGGCTGCAAAGAAAAGAGAACGCTTTCCGGAGTACAAGAAACGGAAACCATTAGAAAAACATGCGATAGAAGCCAGAGATGTCAGCTCTTATGGTGGATACATAATACGTGGGAAAGGCAGAAGATATCATCACCATGCAGAATAATTAAATGAAACCTGTGTGGAAATTCTGGTTTATGTAGGACTAAGATGAAGGGAATAGAGTTCAGTTTAGTAAGGTTTAGATATTTTACAGTATTAACACTATATCGTATAAAAGTTTGATGTTCTTGCCGAGAAGGGTGTTTGAATTTACTGAAATATACTACACTTGTTCGGCTTAGTGCCCATTCTTGACTATAACTAAAATTGTCACTTGCACTAAGTGCCCAACTCCCTAAAAGCACAATATCTGGAGCCGAGTACCTTGGGATTGTTGTAATACAATTTACTTCCTGATTCAGAGCCCCTTTTGATATGTGAATTATTGACATGAAACTTCAGTTGAGGATTCCATGTACATGTACATGTTAATGTTAATGTATGGTCTGTGTAAAAAAGTGATGGTTATCGCAGTTGCATTGTTATCCATGTATAAAGTCTTT